TCCCTGCCGAGCAGGGAGCCCGATGTGGGACTCGATCCCGGGACTCCAGGATCATGACCTGAGCCGAAGGCAGTCGCTTAACCACCTGAGCCACCCAGGCGCCCTCCTGCATCTTCATGAACTGAATTTCCTAGATATTCTTGCCTCCCCAAATACTCAGGACAACCTCACCTTTGCCTTCATCCTCTGATTCTAAGTCTTCCTCACCAGATATGAGGAGGAGATCAAAGAGCGTGCAGACATGGAGAATGAATTTGTCCTCATCAAGAAGGTGAGGGATGACCCCTCCTCGACCAGATAACAGGAGGCGGGGCTTAGAGACTTGGAATAAGGCTTTCTGGGTTCTGTCCCTAAATGTGTCCAAGTAATGGGATATTTGGCCACCTCCCAGGTATACAGCACAGAAAGACAGACAAGGACAGAGGGGTAGTTAGGTGCGTTTGGACAGAACTTTGGACATTGATATTGGGATATGGTTAAGAAAATGGAGCAGAATTGGAGGTGTGGCCATGGAAGGCTTCTTGGAGGGGGAAGGGGAGGGGGAGGGGGAGGAGGGCTGCAGGAAACGGAGGTAAAGGTGTTTGCGCTGGGGATACAGGTGTGATGGGGCAGGGGCTGGAGGATCAGGCCAGAGAATGAGGTGGGAAAGTCATAAGGTTCTATGTCTGGGCCATTGGGTGCCCCTGGTTGCGGTCATGTGTGGGCACTCAGCTCAGACTCACTCCCCTTCCCTACCACCCAGGATGTGGACGAAGCTTACATGAACAAGGTAGAGCTGGAGTCCCGCCTGGAAGGGCTGACCGACGAGATCAGCTTCTTAAGGCAGCTGTATGAAGAGGTATGTGAAGGGGGGCTGAAGACTGAGGGGCCCCCGCCCCATCAGAGGCTCCTCCCAGCCCCCAGCACGTCAGCAGACAGGGTCTCACCACTGAATAATTACAATTAGCCATATAACCCAACATGGCTGTTCTATATGTTTTGTCCCCCTGCGTGAGGGTGAGGGAGGGTTTATTACCCCATTTCACAGATAAGGAAACGGGCTCGGGAATGAAATAGCTTGTCCAAGGTTGTCATTCACAGAGGGGTTGCCCAGCTGCAACTTGAACCTGCTTTGTCCCCAGAGCCTTTGTTTCTTGTAGCAAGCTCTTAGGGGCTCACTGTTGGCAGCTGAGTGGGGAAGGGCTCTGCCCCTCGGGTCACTCACCTGGAGCCAGGTGGCCTTTTGTCCTGGCCTCCTTTCATCCATACATCCCTCCAGGTTTCAAGCCTTTGACTCATCTTCCCAGCCGTAGCTCCCACCTGCTTCTCTCCTCGGTTGCTGGCCTTCCTATCCTGTCCCTAAGGAAGTCCCTTCTGCCAAAGGGGGGTCCTTGTGTGCAAGGACAGGGCCTCACCGCCCACCCCCCGCCGTGCCGTCCCCCCTCCCCAGGAGATCCGTGAGCTGCAGTCCCAGATCTCGGACACGTCCGTGGTGCTGTCCATGGACAACAGCCGCTCCCTGGACCTGGACAGCATCATCACCGAGGTCAAGGCCCAGTACGAGGACATTGCCAACCGCAGCCGGGCTGAGGCCGAGGCCATGTACCAGATCAAGGTAGGGCAGGAAGCTCTCAAGGGCTGGCCCTGCTGTAGGGTCTCAGGGCTCCTGTCCCCAGATCCTTGGCTTCCCAAGAAGAGCAGGGTCACTAGGCTGGCCCTCCCCTCTGGCCGGTTCTGTGCCCTCATACTTGAGGAGGGACCAGGATTTCAAACTAGCCTGCCTGCTGTGAGCTGGGCCTGCTGAGTGGGTGATGGGGAGACAGGGATGTCCATGTGCCTGGAGGTCTGGAAGAAGGCTGGCCGTGGTGTGTGTGTGTATGCGTGTGGGGAAGGGGTGAGGTGAGACGAGCTGGGCACTCGCCTTACTCTTGCCTCACACCCACAGTACGAGGAGCTGCAGACACTGGCTGGGAAGCATGGGGATGACCTCCGTCGCACGAAGACGGAGATTTCCGAGATGAACCGGAGCATCAGCCGACTCCAGGCTGAGATCGAGGCCCTCAAAAACCAGGTATGAGCTGGGCTGGGGGTGGAGAGGATCCTTGGACATGTCAAGGTGAGAGCAGACAAGGCAGCAAGGAGTGAGGGAGCTGGGGGTCAGGAAAGGAATTCTAGACCAGACTTTAAGCTTCTCAGACTGCTCCGGGGGGTCTGAAGGGTACTGAGGAGGTCCCTGGGGCCATGATGAGGGGCCAGAGGGGGATTAGGCTCCAGGATGGGTTCCCTCAAGCCTGCTTTATTTTATCTGTCTTATAAGTAAGACAGGGTAAGGTCAGGTTCTACTGCTTTAAGGCAGTCTGGAAAGCGGAGATGTGGTCCAGTTAGTTAGGCTGGGATGATGCCTCTTGGTGTCCCAGGTGAGAAGTTTATGCAAGGAGGTGCCTGGGAGCTGCTTAGATTTCCCTGTTCTGCTTCCTGAAGCCCATTGGTAGCATTTTCTTGGAGCTAGGTGGAGTTGGTTAGTCTAGGTCAGGGAGAGGCTCTGGTCCCCAGTAGAGGGGAAAGGGAAGGTGGGTGCAGGGGGAGGAAGCAACCAGACTGCTCTACCTGCTGACCTGTCCCCCTGCCCCCACAGAGGGCTGCCCTGGAGGCGGCTATTGCTGATGCTGAGCAGCGCGGGGAGCTGGCCATTAAGGACGCCAATGCCAAGGTGGCTGAGCTGGAGGCCGCCCTGCAGCGAGCCAAGCAGGACATGGCCCGGCAGCTGCGCGAGTACCAGGAGCTCATGAACGTCAAGCTGGCCCTGGACATCGAGATTGCCACCTATCGCAAGCTGCTGGAGGGCGAGGAGAGCCGGTGGGTGTTGGGGTCTCTGACTGGCCCCGGTGCCCTGGCCCGGGGACTTGGGGTGGGCAGGGGTGGGAATTGAGTCCTGTTGTCCTGGGACAAGGGCCCAGAGTTGGTTCTGATGTCCCATGTATCCTCTGGGTACAGGCTGGAGTCTGGGATGCAGAACATGAGTATCCATACTAAGACCACGAGTGGCTACTCAGGTGAGTGTCCCAGCCTTGGGGTGTAGGGCAGGAGGGCGGGGCCTTTTTATACAGCTCCTATAAATTTCCCTCTTGTACAGGTGAGGAAGCTGGGGCCCAGTTAGAGGTCTTGTCCAAGGTTACATAACTTATTCAAAGCTCCGTCCTACCCTGCTCCTGGTTTTCCCCAACCATCCTAAAATAATGAGCCAGGGCGATTCCCCAGCCCTGGACTATGTAGGGGGTGGCAGGGAACAGGGGACGTGGAGCCTGATGTGTGCCTGGCCTGCGCTTATGTGGCTGCTTTTGTCTCTGACCAGGTGGCCTGAGCTCGGCCTATGGAGGCCTCACAAGCCCCGGCCTCAACTATGGCCTGAGCCCCTTCCAGTCCAGCTTTGGCCCTGCTGGTTCCTTCAGCCGCAGCGGCTCTTCCAAGGCTGTGGTCGTGAAGAAGATCGAGACCCGTGACGGGAAGCTGGTGTCCGAGTCGTCTGATGTCCTATCCAAGTGAACAACCATGGTGGTCCTTCCCAGCCTCCCTACTCTTGTGGCTGCCATAGAGCCTTTGGGGGGAAAGGAGCTGTGCCGGGGAGCATCGGGAACGGGAGAGGCACCTAAGACTCAGCCCCAGTCCTCAGCTCACCCTTGGGGGGAGTCTTCTGCCCTGGGTACCCCCTCTTGTCCATGCCCCCAACTAAAAGCCGATTCAAGTGTCTTTTCCCAAATAAAGCCTCAGCCGACTCTGCCAATCCCACTGGCTTTGTGCAGCCCTTGTCCATGGGGTGGGGGAGAGGGGATCAGGAGGCCTCTCCTGGGACTCAGAAGCTGGTGGGGGGGGGCCCTAGGAAGTGGGGGGGCACTGGGGATGAAAGTCTGGCCTTCTCCAGGCTGTTCCCAGAGAGACTTCTTTGCTGAAATCGTTAATGTCCTCTTCAAGTACCCCATTTCATTTTATCTGTGCGACAAACCCTTTGAGGCAGGCCAGGCGGGTTTCAGATGCTATTATCAGGAGAGAGTGCAGTTTCCTTTCCGTAGACCTCGCAGGACTGCTTGCCCGGAGGGCCAAGTAATTGGCCCAGCAGGAAAGAGGAAGCTCGGGCATCTATACTCTGCAGTTCCCAAGCCTCTCCTCCTCCTCGGCCGGGCACGTGGCATTTCCTTGGTGGCCACAGATGTCTTTTTACCGTCTTCATTCCTTTGCAGCTGGGGACCAAGGAGTCCCGGGTTTCCTCTCCCTTCAGAAGCCCAGAGTGTATTTGTAGCAATTGGACGTGTCACACCCACAGTTTCTAGAAGCCAACATAGTATAGGACTCGGCATTGGTAAGTGGGCTCCTCCTGGCCCCACTGACGGTTGCTCCCATCCGCCGCTGGTCCTTGCCATTCCTTTTTCACCCTTTTCCACGCAGTGTTTATATATATTTAAAAGACTTATTTATTTAGTAGAGAGAGAGTGAGCTCGAGTGGGAGGGGCAGAGGGAGAGGGAGAAAGAATTTCCAGCAGACTCCACGCTGAGTGTGGAGCCCCACGCAGGGCTCGATCTCACGACCCTGAGATCATGACCTGAGCTGAAACCAAGAGTCGGACGCTTAGCCGCCTGCACCAACCAGGCGCCCCTACACGCGGTGTTTATATTATATATACAGCCAAGTGTGTGAAGGGTGTGTGCATTCTGTGTTTGCATGTGGAGGGTGTGCTGTGTTGATATGGGTGTGTTTATGTTCTGTTAAGTGTGTAAAGGGGTTTGCCCATCTTTGCTGGAACTGCAGCCTCTGGGGTCAAGGGCAGGGCCAGAGGTTTAGGACACGCCTGGGTGGGGCAGGGCATCCCTGGCCTGCGGCTTCATCACTACCACCACCTGGGGTTCCAGGCAGACATGCGGACCTCTTAGCACTGGACTAAGTGTGGACAAGCCCTTACTTAGTTCTGACTTTCCAAAGCACCAAGGGAGAATAAAAACCATGCAGAGAGTACAGTGACAGGGTGACAGGGTAGGGCAGGAAGCTCTCAAGTTCTGGTCCTGCTGTAGGGTCTCAGGGCTCCTGTCCCCAGATCCTTGGCTTCCCAGCCTTGGGGTTCTCTGGGTATCTCCCTGGCTACCTACCTTGATGGAGCTGCTTCCGGACTGATCCCAGGCCTTCTACTCTCCCAGCCCCTCCCAGGGCTAGGCCCAGAGTTCTGGACTCTGTCCCAATAAAGGACTAAGTACCATTATTTAGAACACCATTATGTCTCATTAACGGGCAACAGCTTGAAGTAAGAAATTCATTTTTATCACAACTTACAGCCTAACCAGCCTTTGGCTCATGTGTGGCTGACTCTCAGCAGGGTCCCGGGAGGCGGCAGGGTGGTGTTAGAGCCCGGAGCAGGCATGCCACCCAGTGAGAGGGACCTCTTGCCCCGTGAGGCCCCAAGTCAATATTTTAAATTGTGCCCCACCCAATCCTTGAAGCCAGCCACCTGTCTAATCAGGCCCTGCCGCATGAATGCTGGGAGCAGCCAAGGGCCCCACCAATAGGCTCCTGGTGTTTCCACACCCCAGGTGTTTGCTCAGGGAAAGGCAGGAAAAGTCTGGGGAGAATTCGCTCCCTCCCCCTCCTTCCTTTCCAGGTTGCTGTGTACCTGCTATGTGATCAATGACACTCAGCATTCAGGGGACACCAAATACAAGAGCTGGCCATCCAATTCTCATTTAGACGACACTGAGGAAGGATGGAAGCTAACCCTTCTCGAACACCTACTTAACGGCAGATCTGGTCCTGCATCACCTTCCAACCCTCCAGTGATCCTGTGGGGCGGGTAATAAAGTCCCCATTTTGCGCATGTAGACTTTGCACAAGGTTACCCTGTAAGGATGGAAGTGGTGTCCAATGCTTGGGCCAGGGCTTTTGGACAATACTAGATTTTTATCATCTGTACAACATACAAAGCTGAACAATTTTAAGCTTGTTGAAGCTTTGCCTATCCTGGTGGGTGTTAGCAGCTCTGTGTATCCAGCATCCCTCCCCCTTCTGGTGACAGGACTCTCCCCAAACCTGGCCGCTCCCACGGCCTCCCCCTTCTTTTCAGGGACTGTCCTTCCCAGCTGCAGCCTGTGGTTCTGATGGGCCTGCCAGTCACACTACCTCTTCTCTGGGCCCACAAGAGTGGTGGAGCCAGCCTGGCCAATCAAAGAACAAAGCCTTTGTTCCTTTCTTGCTGGGGTATAACATGAGTGCAGTAAAAGGCAGAAAGTGCTTCATAGATTTCTGCTTCCCTTCCCACCTGCGTTATAGAACATTTCCTGCCTCACAGAAGATTCCGGTGTGCCCCTGGCTAGAGTGCACCTTTAAAAGTACAAATCAGGTTTGGTTAGTCTCCTGCTTAGCAGACCCTCATGTTGACACGCAGGAGAAGGCCCCACAGTTTGGGCCTGCTCGGCCTCTTCCTGCTCCTCAACGCCTCCTGGCCACCCTCTCTTGTGTTCTCTTTGATTCAGTGGTGCAGGCTTTTCAGGGCTTGGTTCTCATCACATTGTCTTCTGCACGGGCCTTCTGCACAGGCTGTTCAGTCTTCTTGGAACACGGTGCTTTTCTATGCACACTGAGGAGTTTCCTATTGTTCTTCACAGTGCCCGCAATGCAGCTTCTGCAGGAAAGCCTCCTAGACACTACAGGCCAGGTGGGCCCTTTCTTTCTCTCCTTCTGTCTTCTTTCTTTCTTCTTTTTTCTTTCTTTCTTTCTTTTCTTTTCTTTTCTTTTCTCTCTCTCTCTCTCTTTCTCTTGATGTATTGGTCTTTTATTTATTATTTGATTTTATTTAAAAAAATATTTATTTATTTGAGAGAGAGAGAGAGAGACTATGAGTGGGAGGGGCAGAGGGAGAGGGAGAGAGAGAAGCAGACTCTCCGCTGAGCGCAGAGCCCGATGCAGGGCTCGATCTCAGACCCTGAGATCAGGAGCTGAGCCAAAACCAAGAGTCACATGCTTAACCAACTAAGCCACCCAGGCACTCCTGTATTGGTCTTCTAAAGCATGTCCCTGCAAAGTGGCCTTGGCCTCACAGCAGCAATCAGGCCATCTATAAGTGCCTGGGAAAGGGGGGGAAGGCAGACTCGGGGCCAAGCTTGGCACAAATGTGCCTAGCAGTGTGTGGCTGGTGCCCGGAGGGTGGGGACGAGGATGGCAGGAGTGAATCCACAGACACTTAAGCCAGGGTCCTGGGCCTCAAACTACTTTCAGCTTACCTGGGAAAACCATGCACGACCCAGAAAAGTCAACTTCACTTGCTCAGTCATTCAGCAGGCATTCACTGGTCACCTGGGATGAGGCAGACACCGTCAGGCACAGGGTGAAAGAGGACTGGATGTTTGGCATCTGGCAAGGTGAGGAGTCGCTGGGCACGATGGACTCAGTGATGACTTAGGGCAGCATTGACTGCTGGTGGTCCCCCAAATCTTATTCTCCCCCACTTTCCCCAGTAATTAGAACTCCACTTTTAGTTGAGCACATGGCTGCTTGGAATAAAGACTGCATACTTCTGCTGTCCTTGCAGTTAACTGTGGCCATGTGACAAAGGGCTAGAAGAGGAAGTGGAGGGTGAGACTTCTGGGAAGTATCCTAAAATGGAGAGAGTGTGAGCGCTTCTTCCACCCCGCCTTTCTGCTGGTGCGAATGCATACAGAATGGTTGTAGTTCAGCAGCTATCTTGGACCTTGAGGAGACCTGGGGAACGAAAGCCATCCTTGGCAGAGCAAAGTGTAGATGAGACCTGGTCTGTGCACCATGGGATGCCATATTAGCCTTGGCCAGATTATTTCCATGTCTGGAAATTGGGAGAGAAATAAAATTCCATCTGCACTGAGCCACTGTTATTCTGGGTTTTGCTATTACTCTTAGCTGAAGCCAATCTTCATATAGTCTCAGGCGCATAGCTTCCAGATGAGCCCAGAAGATAAGCAGAGAGAGTCCCGGCTGGAGTAAGCAAAGTGGCTTCCAGCCCCGTCTTGCCCTTGACTCGCTCTGGGATGTTTGGAAGATCTCTCCCTTCTCGGGCCTCAGTCCCCTCTTCTTGAACCAAGGTGTCGGACTTTGTGGGCGCCAAGATATCTTCTCGCCCTGCCATTTTATCTTCTGGATATTTTGATGAGTCCTGGAAGCCCGGCATGCTGAGCCGAGAACGTTGTACTTGATCTCAGAAGCAGTGGTGTCCTTGGAGAATTTTCCTGGTGGGGAGTAGGGATGGGAAGTGGCGGAGGTGATGCTTTAAGAGGAAGCTGGAGTCTCCCGACAGGGACGTGTGGCTAAGCTGGGGTGGGTGCTGGATGAACACCAGAAGACCAGCTCTGCCATGCACAGGGTCTGGGACTGTGGGCATGCTGCCGCCCCTCGCTGAACTTTAGTGTGCTGCCAGGGACGGGGGGACGATCCACCCTGTCCCAGGGCAGTTGAGGCTGGGACACAGTAATGTATGTGAAGGAGTTCTGTGAACCCTAGATGGCGAGGATTGCCCTTTCCCTCAGGAGCCCTTTCAGGATGAATTCTCTGTCCGTCTTCCCTTCTGTGTCTGCGGCTCACCCCAGTGCATGCACTCCCCATCAGATTGGGGGGCCTCGGGAAGCAGCGTGGCCCTGATGTTAAGGCAGAGGGGTCCTCAGGCACCTGCCCACTCTGGCCATGCCACCCCCCCCCCCCCCGCCACGGCATTTTCTTCCTCTCCTGCAGGTGTCAAAGTGCTTACCCCACCTCGCCTGCTTCTCACGTGTTCTCTCTGAGGAAGGTTCTCTTCTCATCCTCACCTCGTGAGGGACGAGGTCTGAGGCCCCGGGAGGGGAAGTCATTTCCTCAGGGTTGCCTGGCTTTTGGTGGCAGTGTGGACTGGAAAAAGAGACCATAAGCCTGAAGCTGTTCCCAGATTATTTGACCTGCCCAGACCGTTTGAAGCTAGGGGAAACTTGTGGGATCAGAGAAGAGAACTGAGGAGTGGGCCAGGCTGGGAGGCACGCCACTGGGTGGGGGAGAGAGGGGGGCAGTATCGCTTCAGACTCCTTGGGCCCATGGGTCACTTCACCCGGGCTTCGGGTGCCCCCTCGTGGGCATTGTGGGGAGTGCCCAGCCGATCACCTACCCCACTGTAGCCGGCTTCTGGATGGTTCCCCGGACACTCCCTCTCCTTCAGGGTACCAGTCTACCTGTGGGGCTTATTGGAACGGTGAGAATGTGAGCAACCTGGAGGTTTTTTTTTGGTTTAGGAGCTTAAAATTCAAATGCCCACAGGGGCCAGGCAGCTAAGGTAAAACAGAGAAGTTGGTGTGGGGTGAGAAACTGTGGATAGTCACCCGCCGTTGGCACATAAAACATGCTGGAATATTCTTGGCCTTCACAAAGAATTACGCTTTCCCGCTGTCTTTTTTGAAACATGCCGGCCTTCCATCCTCCCACTGCAGACTGAAAGATATGCACAGGGAAGGTTTACTTTCCTTTTCTCTGTCTCATCTGTTCGCATTTTCTCTATTTCATCTTTATTAGAAGATGGCGCACATATAGATAGGGCATCTGACACTCGGCCTCATTGTAGGGACGGTAAAAGGGCGTGGTGAGCACAACAGCAAACTAGAACCACTTAGAACACCTGGGCCGGAGGCACCCCTGCTCTGTTACTCTCTGGCCGTGCCCCTGCTCCTCTGCTGAGGAGCAGGTCCACCCACAGAGCCTGTGTCTCCCCATCCTGTCCAGTAGGCCCTAAGCTCACTTCTGGGGACTGCTGGGGCTTCTTCCCTGGGTCCTGCCTCCTTTGTACCTCATCCTGGCTGAGGGATGGCTGATTTGGGGGTGGGGAGCCTCTAGAGCTGCCCTGTCCAACTGGGCAGCCGCTAGCCACGTGTGGTTGAGAACTCTGAATGTGGCTAGTCTGAATTGAGATGTGCTGTGACTATAAAACCCACATCAGATCTTCAAGACAGTAGGAGAAAGATGAATATAAAATACGAGCAGTCTTAAATATTGATTACATGTCGAAATAATATTTTGCATATATTGGGTTAAATAAATTTACTATTCAAATTAATTCTATTTCTTTTTACTTTATGAATGTGGATACCAGAAAACTAAAAACTATATACGTGGCTTGCATTTGTAGCTCACCCTATATTCCTGTTGGGTTGGTACAGATGGCCCTTGGAAGAGTTGTCCTGGTATTCATGGTGGCCCGTCCAAATGTGGGATGAAGTAGGGGATGGAGCTGGGTCAGAAGGGAAGGGGAGCTGTGGGCCTCCTTTTGCACCCTTCTGTGCCTGCCCACATGTTGGGGCCCAGCCCAGGGCAACCTCTTTACTCAGCCCCCGCCTGCTGTAGACAAGCAAGTTCTCGAACTTTCATCCAGAGTTTCCAGAACTTTCAACTTTGCAACAGAAATTGGAAATCTGAATTTTTACATGAAATCTCCTAATTTTTAAGTGTTGACAGCTAATTCAAATGTTTAGAAAAAACACTCTCCTGGCTAAGACCACACAAGGCAGGGAAAACATATCTTTGGGCTCTGGTTCAAAGTAGGGAGACTGAGGTCAGGGAGACAAAGTTTGAATTGGTTCCCACAGCAAAGGGGACTGAGGGAAGGTGATAAAAGGGGACGTAAAACCTCCAACACCAGCATCTGTCCCCCTTTGCCAGACTTCGAGAGTCCAGTATTGGTGTCAGGGGCCAGTGCAGTGGTGGGGACCCAAGGGACACAGAAAGCCTTGGATTTTCATCTTTCCCTGAAGCCTGCGGCTCAGCCTGTGTGGACGCGGCAGGATTGGGCGCCAGGACCGGGCCGTAGCCTGAGGGAAGGTTGGATTTGAGCGACTAGGAG